GGGCTTCTCCGCCAGCGCCTACGTGGCCAGCAAGCGGCTGGGGGAGAAGGCGCCCGCCCGCGCCGCCGCCCTGGGCAGCGCCTCGGCCGGCCTCTCCAAGCAAGTGCACTCCCTCTACAGCATGACGCCCTGCCCGTGACGCCCGCCCAACGCCCGGCCCGGGGCAGCGCTCCGCCCGACGAGCCCCATTAAAGCTTATTCAGAGTCGCCCGGGCTGCTGCCTGCTGCGATGCGCGCGCCGCCCGCGGCGGTCCCGGACCTGCAAGACGGCTGGCCAGCCGCGCCGCTCCTCGTCTGTCCGCCCGCCCGCGCGATTGTCCGCTGTTTCTGCATATACATCCATCCGTGTACCGTTGCTCTGTGTGCTGCTGTCTAACGCCCGTTCTTCCTCCGCTGAGCCCGGCCGCCCCCCCCCCCGCGGCTCTTCCTAAGGCAGAGCAGGTGACCGCCCTGCGCTTGTCCAGAGCAGCTGCTCCAGGCCAAGCCCCCCCATCACCCCCCAACTTAATGATGGCTTTGTCCATTTGCTCAGCAGCTGCCCCCGCCCTGCTTTCTGAAAAGGGGAGAGGGCCTTTCCCTCACCCACCCCATGGTTTTGGGGGGGTCCAATCTAAGGCTGCCTGCTCCAAGCATGTGCCCCCCCATTCAGGGCTTCTGAAACAGAAATATCTCTTCATGTGACCAAACCAAGATCACCCCCCCCCAAAGTATCCACAATTGTTTATGAAAGCTGAGCCTGGCTTTCCGTCTCTGCAGACCCTTCCCCTGGGTCCATCCTCCCCACACTGGCCCTGGGGGAGGGGGGGATTCTCTAGCAAAAGGCTGAATTCCTGCCCTGAAAGCAGCAGGAAAGCTCCCTGCCCCCTTTTGCCCTGTGCTGTGTTTCAATGGAAATCAATGGAAATCGGTACTCCTGCCCCTTCCAGAGCAGCAGCCTCCTCCCCCAGAAGTAGGGCTGGCAGCCAGGAGACCCTCCCCTCGCCAGCAAGGGGGGGGATCCTTTTCCCTGCAGACCAGAGAGAGTGGTCACCTCAGCTCCTTCACCCACTGTGCACCTGCAACATGGCACCAGGGACGAGGAGCGCCTGTCAGCCAGGCAGTGAGACTGCCCACTTCCCTGAGCGAGGCAGGAAGGCCGGGCCAGGAAGAAAAGTGCACCGCAGCCTTTATTGAGGGGAGCTCCAGCCCCTCCCCCTTTACTCCCCTCTTCCGGGGGGCTGGAGGGATGCAGAGAAACGGCCTTCATGGGACCCTGAGTCCAGTCACTAGGCACGGCCACGGAGCGCCTTCGGCAGCAAGGGAGTTGCCGGGTTTTCGGTGCCCAAACGGCAGGACCAGCTGCAAAGAAGGAAGTTCTTTCTCGCCCACCTGTGGGGGGGGGGCTCCTCCCTCTTTCACGCAGCTCTTTCCTCTTCCTCCTCCTGGTCCAGGCGCTGCAGCTGCTGCTCCACCTCTGGGGGGATCTTCACCTCCAGCAGGTTTTCCATCCCAGCCTCGGGCTCGTCACCAATCAGGACCTGCTCAGGGCAAACACCCCCAGGCCTCAGGGGGGCGCCTAGGAGCAGCCTGAAACTCCCCACCCCCTCTTCATCACAAGGGAAGGGTCCAGAGGGCCCCCCCACTCACCTGGATCAGCTTTTCACAGGCAGCGCGGACTCCGCGGTCCTCTTCCCACTTGTGTAACTCTCGCAGGACAAAGTAGGTGCCTTTGTCTCGCACCAGGATCCGCCCCGGTTTGGTGGCCGTGAGCTGTCGAGGGGAGGGGGGAGGTCACTGGCAGCAGGGCCTCTAGAGCAGTGTTTCTCAACCTTGACAATTTTAAGGCATGTGGACTTCAACTCCCAGAATTCCACAGCCAGCAATGCTGGCTGTGGAATTCTGGGAGTTGAAGTCCACATGCCTTAAAATTGTCAAGGTTGAGAAACACTGCTCTAGAGCAGGGGTCCTCAACCTTGGCGACTTTAAGACTTGTGGACTTCAACTCCCAGAATTCCTCAGCCAGCAAAGCTGGCTGAGGAATTCTGGGAGTTGAAGTCCACAAGTCTTAAAGTCGCCAAGGTTGAGGACCCCTGCTCTAGAGGGAAGCCATTGGCCTGGGGTGCTGCGCCCCTTGGAGGGTCACTTTTTTGGGGGCACTCTGGACCTCTTGCCCACAGCCAGAAAAGGAATCCAGCAGCCTGGTTGGGTGGGGCAGGCTCTTGGGGGGGAGGGGGATAGGAGACCCAGGCTGTGTCTTCCAGGCCTCCCCCTTGCCATCAAGGTCCACAACACAGGTGATGCAAGGAAGCAAGCCAGGAAGCAAAGGATCCCTCTTTTCCAGAGTTGCACAAAAGGTGCAGATTGGGACACACCGGGGGGGGGGGGGGCAGGGGGAGACTCAATTCACAGGGGTTTGTGGGGAAGCGCTGGGAGGCCCCTCAAGATCTTGATGGTGATGTGGGTGAGCTCCGTAGCCCAGGGGAAGCTGCTTCCAGGGCCCACTTGGCAGGTTCCTGGGCACCGAGCAGCCCCCACGTACCCTCCCCCCACCCGACCTGCCCACCTACCAGCAGGAGGGTCTCCAGGAGCATCTTGCGGATGTCAGCTTCCGGCTCCCGCTGCTTGTCGGCTGGCAAGTACTGCAGATCCAGGGGCAGCCCTGCGGGGTTCAGGAGCGGGTGGGTCAAAGAAGGGCGCAGGGCAGCGGCCGCGGTGCAGCCCCCGGGGGTCTCTGTCCCCCTCCCGTCCCCCTCCCGGAGAAGGCACCCACTTTCCATCTCGTCCTCCGGCAGCTCCTCGGGGCCCGCCAGGGGCAGGAGAAGGAAGGGCAGCAGGTCCACTTGCTCGCTCAGCAGCCACTCGTGGTGCCCTGGAAAGCAGACAGCCCGTGACCAGGCGGGACCGGCGCTGCTCGCCCAGAGCCGAAGCGAGGCCGGCGCCACTCACGGGAGTCGAAGCAGCAGTTCCGCAGCGTCCCCGCCACGCCGCGCCGTCGGACCGCCGAGCCCGCGTCCTGCGTGAAGGGCAGCAGCCTCTGCACCAGGCGCCTATGGGGAGAGCCGGGTCAGCCGCCGCGCCCCGCCAGTCCGGAGCGCCCCCTCCCCAGCGCGGCAGTCCCCCCCTCCCCCGGCCCGCCTTACCCGGCGCGGTCGAGCAGGGCGTCGCGGGCCTCCGGGAGCTGGCTCAGGTTGGCCAGCAGCGCGCCCAGGTGGTGCCAGGGCGCCCCGGGACGCGGGTCCGGCCCGCAGAAGGCCTCCAGCAGCGGCGGCAGCAGCCCCGCGCCGCCCCTCCGCAGCTCGGCCCAGAGCGCCCGGCAGGGGCCCTCCTCGCGGGACCAGTTGGCCAGCAGCGCGCAGGCCGGCTGGGCCAGNCCCGGCTCCGCCGCCAGGTTGACCAGCGCGTGCAAGGCGGGCTCGGCCACGGCGAGGCTCGGGTCGCCGCTCAGCGCCAGCAGCGCCTCCAGGAAGTCCGGCCGGTCGAGCAGCAGCCGGCGGCCCTCGGCGCCCCCGGTCAGCCCCAGCACGAAGCGGACGGCGCCGCCCTTCAGGTCCCCGCGGGCCTCGGGCCGGAGGAAGGCCAGCAGCTCCCGCGCCCGCGCCTCCTCCATGCTGGGCCGCCCGCTTCCGCGGTCGCAGCGCCCCGCCAATCCGCGCCCGGGGCTGGCGGGGGGGCGGGGCGAGAGAGGGCCCGAAGAGCTCCTTGGCCAATCGGAAGAGGCCTTTCGGAGCGCCGCCTCTCGGGAGTTGAAGTCCGGCTCGTGGCCGCATCCCCGGCGTGAGTCCGGCAGAGGCTCGGCCTGGGCGGGCCGCTCCGAAGGGGATCCCCGGGCGGGCTTTGGGGGAGAGGTTCGCTCCCGCTGGAAGAAGCGCAGGAAGCCGCTGCGGCTCCGGAGGGAAGTTTGCTAGGAATCGGCGCTCAAGGAGATCCCCGCTCCCGAATCCAAGGGTCGGGATCCCGCCTTGGGATGCGTGGCCTTTTCGGCGCCGTTTCTCTCCGCATCGATTAGGTCGTTGGCCGTGTAACACACTACACACACACACATCCATTTATTGCTCCTCTCTAACCAAACCCCGCCCGTCTCCAGATTTCGGCCCAGCACCCCTCAACCTCGTGGCCCCCCAACCTCTGCCTGTCCAGCCAACGCTGCCGACGTCAAGGCCTGGCCTTATTTTTTTTTTATTATTGAAAAGTTTTATAAAAGTTACAATATAAACCCCAAAACCAACCCCCCCCTAACCCCCCCTCCCTCCCCCACTTCTGGGGGAGCTGAATACAGGGTTACAAATATAATAATCATAATCTAACTAACATTAACCAACTATATAAATAACCAAGTCCGTAATGCGCTTTAACTCCCCTTTAACATAAATATTGACTGGAAACAGCCACCCAGTGGGCAAATTTTGGCTTCATTCTTTCATTCCTTCCATCCACATTCATCACCAAATGTGAGATACACACCGCCCCCCCCCCTTAAATCTGAACGACTTCAAGCGCCTTTTGAGAAAATTTCCATAGCAAGCTGAATTGGCCCCTCATGGGAACAGGAGGAAGAACCAGGTGGGAACTGGTGGCCCACCAAACCACCATATCCCTGGTTCTATCCCAGAGATTGTGCAGGTAGCATGCTGGCCTCGGCCAGGTGGGTTATGAAAAACTTTCCAACTGTCCCCTTATAATAATAATAATAATAATAATAATAAAGTTGAAAGGGACCTTGGAGGTCATGTAGTCCAACCCCCTGCTCAGGCAGGAAACCCTATACCATTTCAGACAAATGGCTGTCCAGTCTCTTCTTAAAAACTTCCAGTGTTGGAGCATTCACCGCTTCTGGAGGCAGGTTGTTCCACTGGTTAATTGTTCTAACTGTCAGGAAGTTTCTCCTTAGTTCTCCCCTTATTTACAGGGTCTGCCTCTGTACCCGCTGGTTCTGCTTTTGCTCCGGGCTGTCCAACAAGCTGCCACTGCTTTGTTGCAACCCGGTGCAGCTTGTTTGCATGCTTAATGCATGCATGTTGCATCTTCACAGCTCTGTCGGCTGCAGGCGAACCAGATTTTGCTCAGAATCCAGCACTGGACACCATTCCTTGAAGCCTTAGTTGGCACCTCACAAGTCACGGATCCCAATGTGTTTTATGTGTATCTATATTCGGCATAGTACCTTGTTCATAAAGTAGTCTCATCATCCAATGAATTGTTTTATTTTTTCCATTAATTTATACAATTTATAAGTTTACAGTCCTTCTCTTTACTATTTTTAGAAAAACACCCTTGTTTTTTAATAGCAATTGTACAAAGTACCCCTAATAAAGATGAACACTGAAACAATTATCAGAGGAAAACAGCTAAGAGCTGCTGGGGAAATCCACTGTAGGCTAACAAATATTGTAAGCACTCAAGCATTTAAGAAGTGAAAACAAGCTCCCCTAATTGCTTACAGGAAAAAAACACAACCCCGATTTCTATTTGTATTGCAGAAGCTCAGGAAGAACATGTCTCTTTTTCAACTGTGTCTGGAAGAACCATCACCATAATCTAGATTAGTGTTTCTCAACCTCGGCAGCTTAAGGCATGTGGTCAACCTGAAGACGCGTGGACTTCAACACATGCTTGAATTCTGGGAATTGGAAGTCCACCTATTTTCATCTAACTTGAACATTATTTTCAAAAATGCTTATCTAGAGAATTCCAGAACAAAGAACTTTTAGAGCAGGGGTCCCCAACCTTGGCCACTTTAAGACGTGTGGACTTCAACTCCCAGAATTCCCCAGCCAGCGCATGCTGGCTGGGGAATTCTGGGAGTTGAAGTCCACACGTCTTAAAGTGGCCAAGGTTGGGGACCCCTGCTTTAGAGAATTCAACGGAACGGAGAATTTGCAGAACGTTGCCCAGCATTGTTAAGAGTTTCCTCTCTCCCACTTCAGCAGTTGTGGGCAGGAGACAGGACTGTGGCTTCCAAGCCCTCTTCTCTTGCTTGTAACCCATCAGCAGGTGACCCCCCAATGCCCTCCATGTCTTGTTCTCCCGTTAAGCTCCAATGAGGGGGGGGCATCCACCTGCTTTTGCTCAGGAGACGCATTAGAGGCTCCCAGTGAGCCTTTTAAAAGAGCTCCATTTCAAGACCGAAGCTCAGAAATGAGACGGGCTTCTGCACAGATGGTTTACACAGAAATGGGTCTTCCGCTGCCAGAACACCGCCTGGAGGGGGAGGCTCAGACCCCTCCCCAAGTTTGAGCGGTGCCTGTGTGTGTGTGTGTGTGTGCATAGGCGGAAGAGCTACAGCTCAAAGCAAGTCTTCTCGGCTGGGAGATTTGCCTCTTCTTCCTTCATGGTGAGGCTTGGGGGCTTCCCGCGTGTTCCCTTGTTGACTCCGACCCAGAGGAGGCCTGTCGGGGTCAAGGAAGAAGGAGATCAGACCTCCTGCCTGCCAAAGGCCCAAGGCTTCCAGGTGGTCTGTTCCAGAACGAAGAGCTACCCTGCCCTGTCTCCCTCCCTCCAGCTGGATCGCTCCTCCTCCATAAACAGAACAGCGTGGACCTCGAACGCAGAACCGGCCCCGGGTGAAACAGCCCCAAATGCCAGGGGAGCCATTCCTCCCCAGCCTCCTCCTCCAGGGCCAGGGGAGGCCTAGTGCAAAGAGGCCAAGAGGCGCCTCTGCACTCTGGAGAGCAGCGAATGGGTCCTTCTCTTGCAGCGAGGAAGAAGGGTGGCAGATTCCCCAAAGGCTGTTGCTTGGCGTGGGACTTAGGGCTAGGCCAGGGGTAGGCAACCTCGGCTCTTTTACGACTCGTGGACTTCAACTCCCAGAATTCCTGAGCCAGCCATGCTGAAGGGAAAGAGAGAGGTTTCCAACCTGAGCCATGCTGGCTCAGGAATTCTGGGAGTTGAAGTCCACCAGTCATGAAGGGGCCAGAGTTCCCCCATGCTGGCTCAGGAATTCTGGGAATTGAAGTCCACGAGTCATGAAGGAGCCATAGTTCCCCCATGCTGGCTCAGGAATTCTGGGAGTTGAAGTCCACCAGTCATGAAGGGGCCAGAGTTCCCCCATGCTGGCTCAGGAATTCTGGGACTTGAAGTCCACGAATCATAAAAGAGCCAAGGTAGCCTACCCCTGGTATAGGATCAGAGCTAATAGCTGCTCCAAAGCTGTTGTACCTGCAGAATGGGTCACTGCCAGGGGCTCACCCTCGGGGTCCTTGACCACCTGAAAACAGAAGACCAGCACCTGAGTTTGAAGAACCGAGAGAGGCCGGGAGCACCCAAATCTATCATTCCGGTCAGAGCGTCTCCGCTGCGCCTGGCTGCCTCCTGCCACTGGGCCTCCCACCCTCTCCCTACCAGCCGGACTCCCCCAACATCTGCTGCCCACCCCCCCATCTCGACAGCGGCTCTCCCCAGGAGCTTCCTCACCCCGGATGGTGGACTCTGCCAGCCGAACTGGGCTCTCTCAATTGCCCCAGGCCAAAGGGCATGTACTGGCTGACTTGCCAAGCAAAGACTGCCTGCTGCCAGCTGGCTCCAGCAGCCAGAGAGACATTTTCCTTGGGGGCTCCAGCAGCAGCTTCCCCCAAAGCCCCCAGCTGGCCAGCCACTGAAGGGCAGCTCTCCTCCGGTCTCACTACAATCCAGAAAGGGATCGGAGGAGAGCTGGACGGCTGGGAGGTCAGCAAAAGAGATGCCAATCTCTAGCTCAGAGGTCCCCAACCCCCGGTCCGTGGACCGGCACCAGGCCGTGGCATGCCAGCAATCGATCCGCGTAAACAAGCGAAGCTCCATCCATGGGATGCAGGCAGCACACGAAATCAGGCCTCCTCTGGTCCACGGAAAAATCTTTCTCCATAGAACCGGTCCCTGGTGCCCAAAAGGTTGGAGGCCTCTGCCTAGCTGCCCCCCCTCCCCTCATTTATTTCCTGTGCTTTTACAGCACTGAATCATCAATCTAAACAGCTTCAATCAATCAATCAATCAGAATAGAGCTGGGAGGACCCTTGGAGGTCTTCTAGTCCAACCCCCTCCAGGGGTAGGCAACTTTGGCTCTTTTATGACTCGTGGGCTTCAACTCCCAGAATGGCTCAGGAATTCTGGGAGTTGAAGCCCACGAGTCATAAAAGAGCCAAAGTTGCCTACCCCTGCGGCCTAGACCACTCCAGACCAATGGCTGTCCAGTCTCTTCTTAAAAGCCTCCAGTGATGGAGCCCCCACCACTTCTGGAGGCAAAAGCTGTTCCACTGGTTAATTGTTCTCACTGCCAGGAAATGTCTCCTTAATTCTAAGTTGGTTCTCCTTGATTAGTTTCCGTTCATTGTTTCTTGTTTCCCATCTACAGCATGCTTGTAATTATTTTTAATTAAATTATTTTAATTGTTTTAAATTGTTCCCCAATTACAGTTGAGACGGTTTTCCAATCTTCCCAGCAACAGGGATGTCCTGCACTGTCATGTTCTACTAGTCTGCCCGCATCTGACTGATTTTCCCTCCGGGGAAAGACTGACGTGGGATTGATTAATCCCCAGCTCATGTTCATCTGAGCCACGAATGTGGTCTGGTTCTTGATGCCTCGTCTCCTCGCTGCTATGAATGGGACCAAGACGGACTCTAGTGGGAGGG